TGTTTAGCAATCCCTTGGAAGACATGGCAAACTTTAGCTTGTAATTTCACCTACACTTCACATACATTCTCAGTGTACAAGATAAAACCCACTGTAGGCTGTAATTTCCTTTTAAGTGCACCCTGGCTCATAGGGTGGGTTTAAGGTGTCAGTGATCTGTTCTTTAAATGTCTGCAGGCAGCACCTTGGATTTTGAGCTACTTGCATATACAAGGTTTGGTAATTACACTGTCCACTTGCTAGGTTAATGGGGTCATCCTGAACTACCTGGTATGCCAAAGTAGGAGTAGTGATAAAAGTTACTGGTGGCCTCTGTTGGGCAAAATAAATGATGGAGGAATTTGGTGTGGCTGTGCAGAGGGAGTGTCTGTCTGTAAGGATCTCTTAAGTTTCTCTAGTTTGGATCACAGCAGCCTGCTGACCTGACCCTCTGTATTGAACTGTTTTCAGTTTAAATTGATGTTCTAGAGGTGTTATTGTATGATTGGGATATCACTAGCTGTAGAGAAAAGTTCTTTAAACTACTTTTAGTCTCAGAATTCACGTGACTTGTGTTTTTCCTTCTCTGTAGTTGTACAACAGTGTTTGGAATGTTTGCAGCCATATAAACAAGAAGTTTCTCCTTGGTGAGTATAAGCATCATGGGTCCTTGTTTTTGTTAGTTGTAGTTTTTCATTAAGCTTTTGAAGTTTTGCTTTAGAATTCAGATTTTTCTTAATTCTTGCAGAGGCACTGTGGATGATATTTCTCTAAATTAAATCCTTCTGTTACTAAAACAAAGACTGCACATTTCAAGAGAAAAATGGCAGTTTCATTAAAGTAGGTTTTCTTGAATGTTATTTTATTTAGGAAAAACTGCTTTATTTCATGTGACTTAAACCCTTTTCCCAAATCTGTTTGCACATTCGGTGTTTAAGAGTGTTTGTCTTTTACCTTTAGTGTGTTACAGGAAAAAAAGAGAGGAAACCAGAACAGCTAAGTGAGAGATGATCAAATGATTGAAAAGAATTCTTTTCAGTAATGAGTATTTATTTCTTTAATTGCACTTGGTAATTCAAATAGGTTTTATTATAGAAAATATTTTTCTGTTCTGTTGAATTGCCGATGTTAAGAATTTCTGCTTCCATGTTGTCCTCTCCCAGTCCCCACCAATTTGAATTGACAGCGCAGTTACATGGGATGTTATTGAGAGGATGAAAATGACGTTCTTGAAGCCCTGTAATCTTAGGGAGAGTGTGAGGATCTTGATCTGGGGAGGGCAGTCTGTTTCCTGACACCTTGTCACTGTAGTCACAGTACTTCGAGGAGGTCTTGGTTTCTGCCTGAAGAGGAGAGCAAATACGGATTTTTACTGCTGTCAGTTCTATTAGTCTGCTTTTATAAACTGGAGGAAAAATAGGAGTCTGAAATAAAGGACTGAGTCTTATGCTTTGAGGAAATATTTTAGTGTTGAGGAATTAGCTGTGCAGTGTTTTTGTTATGGAAATTGTAGGCATTAGTTCAGGATCCAATTTCAGTGTTGCATTGCTCAGTCAGAGTTTACCTGTGTAGTTGTTGGTTGAATCTGGGAAACAAGATCTAGTTGAGGATCCTACATGGTGCAAATAAGGACTGCATGTGGTCCAGTGTCTTGTTTGAAATGTGTCTTTTGGATGGCAAAAGGGAGGTGATGCGCTCTCCCTTGGAATTTGTTGAACTGTCTAATGGTTTTCATGTCCAGTTCAAATCTTTCCTGTTTCTACTCCTGCTGCATTAAAAATAACAACAAAAAACCCCTTTACTGCAGATCTTAGGGATTGTGTTTTGAAATACCAGTGCTAAGGACATCTTCTGAAACTTCTGGTTGTGTCCTAAAACTTGCTCATCTTGCTATCAAATGGTGTGCATAAACGAAACCTGAAGCAGGAGCATAGTGATCCCTAGATGAACAGCTAGTACAGAAACTGTTTAATACTGTGCTTAATACTTTCACAGGTGTGGGGTCTTACGTCTATTTTTGTATGTAGGATTAAATACAGCAAGGCATACTTCATGGTAGCTGCGCTGCTGGAGGCAAAGCCTGCTAGGCAGACGTTTTTGTCTGCAAGCAATAAAAGTCTGTTGTAATCAGCTTCCCAAGTCAGCATCGAAACAGTTTTTATAAGTGGTGTTTAAATGTTTGCGAGACTTGTACTTAGTCTTCATGAGATGCCATTAGGATTGTATAATATAAGTGGTGTCATAAACACTGTTTTGCAGTCTGATACAGCCATTACCTTTTCTCATCTGCAGGTGTGTGGTTTCAGCACAGCATGGCTGTGGTCATCCACTTGCAAGGTCTTCTGATTGTGGTGGGGACCATGGACTTCTCTGGATTGACCATCCCTGATGGGGGCGTGCACATTGTAGGGGGTGAACTGGGTGAGGCTTTCATCATTTTACCACTGATGAAGATGCGAGGCTTGGTATTGTGTATGCAGATGGTATAAGCAAAAGGTCAAAACTGTTGCAGAGCAATAAAAACCTTATGTGCAAAATGTGATTGGACTTAGTCTCTGGCAGTTTCAGAATGTGCACACAGATATGCTGGCATTGTGTGATGCTGGAGTGAATGGCAGAGTCAGCTTAGGCTTTGTGGAATTGGCTGTAAACCTGTTTTGACATAGAAACTGCTCATAATGCTGTACATGAAGGAGACAAAACGAGCTTGTGCCTTGTTGCTTTTGCAGCATCTGCATTCCACATCTTGGGGCTGTCTTCAGTATCCCAGTTCAGTTACACCTCTGCTGCATCTCCAGTGAGCACAGGACAGTGTCTTGCTAGATGCTTTTACTCCTTGGCTTTGCCAGTGCTTTTTATTAACCCACTACCTACCATGTGCTCCTGTTGTACCCCCAGCGATGCGGAATGCCTCATAGGAGTTGGACAGCAAGCCTACCACCCAGAATAAAACTTTGCTTTGAAAACCTACATTTGTGAAAACTGTCAAAGTTTTCTGTGCTCCTTTATCAAGCCGGAGGGCTGTGTTTTTTCATGGAGTTCCTCTTTTTCCTCTGTTGTGCTCGGATGCATGGGGTGGAAGTCTCTGCGTTTGATGCAGATACACTAAAGAATGGAGGAGATAAGAGACTGAACTGTGGGAGTGAATTGCCTTTCTTCTGAGCTGCTTATGAAGTACTGAATTGAGACAGCACTAAATTTGAAGTGGGACTGATTTAAAGGCAGAGTTTTGGCATGATAGTACATAGGGAGTGGTTTAATCATGCTTACCAGTGATTTGGAAAACCATGGTGGCTGTTACTGAAAGAGAAAGTTTGCTATGTATGCTATATGATCATGTGAAAGATTTCTCCAGTTTCCAGAGGAACCCTCTTCTGTTGGAGCTTAGTGTCCTGTCAGGTTTCCAGAGTTTTCTTTTTCATTCTTTCTCTTTGTTTCTCATCAGAACGTAAAGCCCCAACAATCCTAACTTCTCCTTAACTTCCTTTTCCCTCTGTTTTCCCAGTTAAAAGTTACGGAGGTGATAGGTAAACACCCCCACCCCAACCTCTAGCCATGTCAGCAGGCAGTTGTTCCTGGAGTGATTCAAGTCCATGCTGGGTGAACACACAGTTTGTTATAAGATACTCTAGAAAAGTAACTTGCAATGTTTCTCAGTTCCTAGGTTGCTAAAATATTTTTTCTTTTGGTGTGAATCGCTGTGTTGTGAACTGAGCTTACAGGCAATAGCTGCTTCCCCCCCTCCTCCTCCCCCTCCTTACTGTTGCAGGCTGCTTTAACAATAATGAAGTGAGGTCTGAGAGCAGTGTTTTAGGGGAAGACAGCAGATCATCTCCTGGTAGAGACGTTTCTTTGCAGTTTGCTTAGAATACTCGAGGTGGTGGGGGGCCTCCATGGCCAGCCCTTGGCAAATGGCCTGGCTTAAAAAAGTGTGTTGATGGAACAGCTTTTCCCTGCAATAGAAGCTTTAGGACTTTCCTAAAGATCTTTGAAGTTCTTAATAAAATAATGTTAATGCTTTAATAGATGCAACTCAGTTGATGTCATTGCTGTTCGTGTGTTGTGTCAGCCAAAATGCTCCTGCTTATTTCTGTTGCCAGTGCATGCATTCTTATTTTTGTAGTATGGGACTAGAAGGCCGCTTAGTTTAACTTGCATCCATTTTATACATCTTTAATTGAATCTTCAAGATACGGCCTTACTGTAAGTAGGTTAGTATTGAATAAAGCTTACTTAAATTTTTGGATCACGAGCTTGAAGTCTACAGGAATGGATCATAATTTATATCTTAAAATTGTGGCAAATGGCTGACAAGAATTGGGGGAAAATAGCTCCTAATCAGGCTTTCCATTAAGTGTACCTTGAGAGAAACTGCTTTGGCAAGATTTGTTAAACCTTTATGTTATCTGTTGGAAATACGTCTTAATGAAGACTGTTCTGTTTTTATTTTCTGGTTAAAATGATGGAGAGATGGGAAGAAAGTAATGCAAATATGCAAACAGTATAGACAGTCTTCTGAAATTGGTTAAAGGAACTACTTGTTTCTAACGTCTTTGAACCCTGCTGCATTTGTAATGATGAGGTGCCACAGTGTTCTCGAACGCTTCGCTAACATGAGAGCTGTTGAAAGATTGTTGTTGTGTTTGGTTTTGCCCGCTTCCTGTTTACTGGATTTCTTCTTTTCATCAGAATCGGAGTGGGGGGGAGAATATCATGAAACTTCTGTTTCAGTCGTGAATAAACATTGGGTCGCAGAGTTCTTAACTGACCTGGAACTTGGACCGATGAACCAAGGTTGAGCTTCAATCTTCCATGAGCCAGTAGCTGCCGTTGTGAACACAGTTTTTGAATGATGCTGCACAGTCACTTGGGAACCCTTGTTTAAGAGATAATTACCCCCATTGCTTTCTGCAGACAAAAATTACAGAGGACCCTTAACATCTAGCTTTTGGGGATTATGGTGCATAAGCTTATTTTGTGTATGTCTTGATTAGTGATTGATATTTAATTGCATTTTTCAGGGGAATAAAATCAGCAGTGTTGATATTACAAAATGACAAAACATCCTCCGAATAGAAGAGGGATCAACTTTGAGGTGGGAGCCCAGTTGGAAGCCCGTGACAGATTAAAAAACTGGTATTTTTTTAAAACCATTCATATTATATTAACTCTTTACTATCTTCAAACATTTTGTATTTGTACAGTATTTAGAGTCCTGGTCGTTGGTTTATAGGGAAGTAATGAGTTTATGAAAGTTTATATACCAGTGGTTGAAATGGGCGATAGCTACTGACGTGTTGTGCTGGCCTTCAAAAGGAGGTGTGCTGGTACTGTCTGTGTCTGGGAAATAGGACTGTGTGCAAATCCAGTGGTGCTCCTGAACTCACACTTTAAATTCTGTGCTGTACGCAGGTTGCAGAGCAGACGTTATGAAGAGAGAAATCCTTTGCAGTACAGGATACCCAGGGTAGTTCCTCACCACTTCCTTTTTGTGGCTGTTGTGAGTTCATAGGCTTTAAAGTCTGACTGAAATTGTCACAGCTCATGTGAGGGTGGTCAGCTTTAGAATTAAAAAACTGGGTGGGGAAACACATTCCACTCTTTTCCTATTGCGGTGGTTATTCAGGAAGGAAAAAAGAGGCCTAAAAGTTATCTGAGCTGACTCTGAGTCTTCTAACTCTGTTTTAGGCTCAAAAAATAGCATTTAATAATGCTCAGTGAAGGAGGCATCCAATGAAAATTGCTGAAGACAAAGGCTTCCTAAATACAGGAATTAAATGGCGTTTGTTCGCTCCTTAGGATGTCTCCTCTCTCCTGAAGTCGGCTGTAGTTGACTCTTATTTAAGAGTCTATGTGAGTTAAACATGATTGTACTTCAGGCTCTGGAAACTGTGGGCAGGTTAAGTGTGCAGAAGTCACGGTGCTGAGAACCATCTTGATGTTGCAGAAGGATGGGGCACTGCCTTAGCCACAGGGGCCTTGTTCCAAACCATCTTGATTGCATGCACACATGCACGGTATTTCTCTGCTTTCCAGGTACAAGGGGACTGGAATTGTGAAAATGAGTAAACATAGCTTTTTATGGAAAGAATGTGAAGTACTTTAAATCATACTTGTGTGTTCCATTGGCTTTCCTGTGTAACCAAAAGTTGCGTAGGCAGGATTTCGGCCTGAATCTGCATGCATCTTTTGTACTGAGCTTTGTTTCTACAGGAAGAAAATACTCAGGCCTACAGAAATGAGATTTCTTAGCCTGTCTGTAATGTAGGCTTATTAGGGATACAGTTTAGTACAGTCTGTGTTTGAGTAAGGCTGATAACTTGTGTTCATAACTCATCCTTTTCACATGATTGTACAACAGTGTCTCAGAGTATTGGAGTACACAGCTCTTACACAGGGTAACTTGAGGAGGGAATTCAACACTTGATATACTTTCCATGTATCCCTTGGCTTAAATTTGAATTTTGGATATGCTGCATGTCCAAAACCAAGCCATTTCTGGTTTTTAAAAAGGCATGATGTTAAATGACCTGTCTTATGCCAGGTGTTTTGCACTTCTTGGATCTCAGAACTTAGTTATTAACTCTAGAGTTCTGAAAGTTTTCTTTTGCTTGCTTAGCTTTCGAAAGCTGGGGCAGAAAGTCCATGTTACCTTGACTGGTGATGTGTGTGTATTTCTGTTGACAGTATTTGTGAACCAAAATGTGTAAGAGCTGGGAGCTTATTTTCTCTCAGAAGTATCAGTAGTGACAGGCTGACATCTCCCCAGCTGTGGATCTGTAGAGGACAGCAGACTTTTTTTTCCCTTGCTAGTTTCACCTGCTGCAGTGTGAGCAGGACCTCCTCTGGTGTAGTTACAATGCACTCCTTTTATGAGGATACAGAGCTTTCAGTTGGCTGATAACTGCTTTTCCCTGTGCTGGACCTTCAGAGGTCCAAGCTTTTCTTTTGTTGCTATGTTGGCACTTTAACCTAGGCAGAAGTCTCTTACTTGATCAGGGAGCTTTGATTTCTGTACTCAGTACCAGACACACCAGTCAATTCATGGGCCAGTATTGCTTCTCAAATGGCAGTAGCGCTCTGGAAGGTATTTAATCTCAGATGCCCCATTTACCTGCCTTGCATGGAGGTGACTGGTTCAGGATTTCAGAGTGTTTAGATGTGATCACAAATCATAGGATGTCAGGAGTTAGAAGGGCCCTGGAAAGCTCCCCCAGTGCAACCCCTGCCAGAGCAGGATCACCAGAGCAGTCACACAGGAACACGGCCAGGGCTTTGGGTGTCTGCAGACAAGGAGACTCCACAACCTCTCTGGGCAGCCTGGGCCAGTGATTCTATGATTCTATTCCAGTGAAACAAGGACAGGTGTGTAGGAGAGTGGAAGGGAGACAAACTGGTCTAGGACTGATGCGAACTCCTTCAGTCAGCACCCTGGTCTTGAATTTCCAGATACTTGCCTCTTCACAGAAGAGGATGGTTTTACTCTTGTGTCTACAATAAACCAATTTTCATATTATTTGCTGTGCTGTGACAGCAGTAGTGTGAACTTGGCAGTCATTGCTAAGCCCTGTCTGGTGAGAGTTATCCTGTGTGAGTTGGGAATTACTGGAGTAACTGGAGTTACTAGTTGGGGATTTCTTCCCCAGAATCAGTGAAGGCAGCTAAATGCTTCCTCAGTGGTTTTGGGCAGAATGTATTGGACCATCTCTGGACACACGGCAATTGTACTGGTTTTTTTCTTTTTTTTTTTTTCTTTCAGGCCTTAAGCCAGGTTTCAGTTATTGGCCTTTCACTTTGTGTGTCCTTCTTTAGTAAGTTTTCTTCATAAACAACTCTGAATTTCTTTTAACTTACCTTTACCCCTTGGCATTTTCCCAGGCTTTTTGGTATGTGTGTGTGTATGGATATACTGTGTTACTGCTCTCCTGAATAGATCTGAGAACTTCTGCCTTGGGAACAAATGTTGGAGGAAGGAAGCTTGCACTGTCAGTGTGTGGCTCTCGGAGCTCTTGAGAATATAGGAACCTTTCAAAGTTGCCAACGCTGTGTTTTGCATCTAAAGCGAAGGTGGTAATGGGGAGGGGGCTGTCAGAGCTCATGAATAAATCTAGCACAGCTGCTGATAGGCTTCACTGTTCCAGTCAAGAGCACTGGATGCGTGTTGGTTGCTTCAGAAAAAGATTTGTTCAGGCTTTGCAGCATGTTGTCCAGGAGCTGGCTGAGAGCCCCAGTTTACTCACGCCGGCTCTCAGCCAGGCTGAAATTTGGTCTCATTATCAGGTATGTTTTTGCTGTTCTTGATGATAAATCAGAGTCTTTTCCCCGATCAGGGAGTCTTTAGAAGGTGAGGTGGGATAGATGCAGATGGTACTGGCTCATGGTTCTGGGTTGATGATGACTCTGGTGGAGAAGGTTCCTCCTTTTACTGTGTGTGAAACAGGGAACAATCTTGCATCTTGTAGTAAGTTGGCTCTTGTCACTTGAGCTTGTCTCTCCCAAGTGAGAAAAAGTGGATTGAAGTTGTTCACCAGAGGTGGTTGTCTGCATGGGCTGGATTGTTATCTTAACGTTGAGCCTGTGCTCTGTCAATTTTAGCAGCTTCACTCTTGATGTTTGAGAATCTGCATAAGCCCTAGGCCCATTGCAGTACTGATGGCAAAAGCATCTTCCTGATTAGTGTCTTGTTGAGAAGATCTGAGAATTCCTACCCACATTTCTGCTGCACTTTGCAGGGAGCTGGGTACCTGTAGTTAGTGATAGGCAGTTGCTGAGATAGCTGAGAATAAGCTATGTTTAATAGAGCTACATTGTTATATGTGGGAAGACACTGAACACTCCCCCCTCACAGACCTGTGCAGGGCAGTGCTTGGGAATACCTAAACATGAAATATGTTGATTGTCACACAAGGGAAGTTGCTTTCTTCCTAGGAAGCTGGTAACTGGTCAGAGATGCTCATGCTGTAAGTATCTCCCGTTTGTCTTCCTCTCCTCTACAGCCTTTGCTGCATGTGTTTTAATATTATATTGGGATGAACTGAGGGCATAGCTTGAGGCACATGGCATCGATTGTCAGGCAGGTCCTTAGTCTGTGGCTGCAATGTAAGTCTGTAGTGTGGCCTGTTTGTAGCTCTTCTTGAACAAGTCTTGATTGGATGTGTCTCAGATCTGATGAAGATTTTCAGTTGTAGGTAGCTTTTTATTGTACATTGTAGAATTGTAAAATGGTACCCTGTTGCATTTAAGTCTTAATTCTGAAACATCTAGGCTTTTTTAGCATGCTTGATCCTTTCAAGATGCCATTTCTTTCTACCCCTTGTTCTGTCTTTTAAAGTGAGATATATCAGGTAAAGAATACTTGTTGAAGAAAAAAACACCCAAATCCACCCTTTGTTCAGGAATTCAGTGGGGCCTTGCCTTTCTGCCACAAATAACTGCAGATACTGGCAAGTGAAGATTTTCTCCTGATGCTGTTATTGTGGAGGGGAAAACATCAGTACTTGGGATGTTTTTTTTTAGTTGGGATAGTGAAATATGCTATGATTCTGAAACACTGCGGTTACAAATTACCAATGCAATTAAAGAAATGTGTAGTTTGTAAGGTCTTCCTGTTAAGAAACAGCTGGATTTGACTCTTCTCGGATTCCTGTACTTGTGATATATGGAGAGTTTTTTATTTAAAAGTCCCAGGACTTTGCAGATGAAATTTAACTTTGAGAATCTAAAATTTAAATTAGGTTTAGTGTGCTTGCTAGACTTCTGGTGTTGTGCTGGGAAGATGATTCACGATGCCTGTTGATGGGTATCTCAGAGAAGTGTGTTGACCTTCACCAGTTACTCTTGGTAGGAGGGAGCTGGAGCTATCACTTTTGTGTAGATATGAAATGTGCAGGTGTAAGGAAAGTTTTTCTGATTTCTTGGTCTCTAGATTTATTTTTTCCCACCCTGAACTAAGAACTCCTTACTTGTCGTATCTTCCTGCAGCCTTTGCTGTTCAGTTTTGGGATTTATCCTGTGCTGAGCTCTTAGTCATTTTGTAGTGTCTTTATTGCTTACACAAGTGATACATCAAATAATACTAAGACTGTAGAAACTAAGAGTTGTTAGGTGTAGTAACTCGGCTCCCCATCACACCTGACCAAGCAGATCTTCAGATATTTTGCTTTTGATATTATGCAGATGATCCAGTTTGTGTAGTGCTTTATACTGTAGTTAAGTGTCTGAGACAGCTTACCTTAATTGAAATATTTTAATCTACCTTTTGACCAGGTACCCAGCGCACATTGAAGAAATTGATTATGAAGAAGGAAAAGTTCTTATCCATTTCAAACGCTGGAACCACAGATACGATGAATGGTTTTGTTGGGACAGTCCTTATTTGCGTCCCTTAGAGAAGATACAGTTAAGAAAAGAAGGATTGCATGAGGAAGAAGGTTGTGCAGTAAGTACAAAATAGAGAACATCCGTGTACATATCCGTTTAATGTGCAGTTTGTGAATTATGTCTTCACTTGCTGTGCTGCCTGCTTGTATAAGTTTTATGATTTGTCTTAAACGTTGGAAAACCAATCATTTTGATGAAGTTGTATGTTTCAGTAAGTCTAGATGAAAACACTTTTAACTGTTGTCTTGTAGGGATTTAACATAAATGATCAGGTGTTGGCATGCTGGTCTGACTGCCGCTTCTATCCAGCCAAAGTTACTTCTGTTAACAAAGATGGTAAGTAGTCACTTTAGGTTTGTCATGCTTGTTGGTAATGCATTTCTAATTGCATTCTGACCTTTTTGCTCAGGCGGAGAGAGAGTACAGCAGACAGAAAACTGTGAAGAGTTTTATTTTCCATTGTGTGTTTTGATCTGCCATCAACTTTCTCAACCTAACCTCTTATTCTTTGCATGAGATAAAAGAACTTTCTGCTGGGATATCCAGTCAGTAATTGCTTTAAGTATGTGCTTGGGAAAAGTTGTTTCTTCTTCAGTTTGCTGTGGTCACATGCATCTCTTGACAGTGGAACTAGTGTCAGAGCTGCAAAAACCCTTAACAAATGGGAACTGTAGTCAAGGGGGAAGCACAGCTATGCTGCTTCTTATTGAATATTGGTAATTAACTGTGGAGGACTTGCTTTTGAGCTGTGCTTTCTTTGGATTGACTGTTTGTTGTAGGATCCAGGAGAAAAAGTCTCCGTAATTATCTACTGGAGTATTCTACCACAAGCATGTTGGGATTTTGTGAGGAAAGCGTGTCTAAGGACCAACTCGAAGCTTAGACATGCACCTTTGTTTACCATAATTATTTTTGGAAAGTTCACTGTTTCTCCCTTACCTGGCCTGTACTCTACCAGACCTCTACTGCCAGTGTTTCTAACATGACAGATAAGGCAGTGCTTGTCTAGGGCTAAATATGCAGCTAGAGTATTGGAGCTGTTAGCAGATGCTCTGTTAAATAACTTCTGTTCTTTAAACTATTATGCTTTATTTTCTAATTTTAGGTACATACACTGTGAAGTTTTATGATGGTGTAGTTCAGACTGTCAAAAACATTCATGTCAAAGCTTTTTCCAAAGGTCAGGTAAGTATTGTGTTCGTGCTATTAGTGTATTCTGAAATTGGCTGTTCAGGTGGCTAGATCTGATTAATTGTAAAAGATGAAATGGATGAGACTTCTCTATTGCTAACGTCCAATGTATCTGAAATAAAGTCTGTTAAAATGAGACGGTTATGCAAATCTTCGTGGTGTGTTTTGCAAAGCTTTCAAGTTCATGTTCTCATCAGTGCACCTCTTGAACTAAAGATGTCATAAGCTTATAAATAAAACAGATTTCTCTGTCATTGGAAAACTCAGAACGTACATACTGGAGCTAGTGGTAGGTTATTGAAACACTATTTGGTTGTTTCACCTGTTTGAGATTAGTTTAAATTAGGTGCATCTTACAAAATAAAGACATGGGAACTATGGAGTGGGCAGTAACTATTCTTTACCGAAGGAACTACTTGATTGTCTTGAAACTTCTAGGGAAGCTGTCTGTTAATCAAAACAACAACAAACCCCACCCCAGCACAAAAGAAATGCATCAAAGAAACCAACCAAACAAAAAAGCAACCTGATTTCAGAAGGGAGCAACTTAAGCTGGTCATCTTTTCTTTAATGACAGTGTTACTCTGTGCCTATATAGAGCATGTACCATGCTGCATTGGAGAGTGATGGTAAAATGCTAATGACCTACACAGCGTGAATGTACTTATGCAAGGACACTTAAGAGTTCAGTAACATCAAGAGGTAATTCAGATGTAATGTATTTATGGTTCAGTTTCTTGAGAATAACTTGATTAAGATGGTTCATGTGCTCCAGTACCACATAACTTGATTCAAATCGGATGGCTCTGTGAGCAGAACAACTGATTAAACTTAACATTTGACAGTTGGTTTTGAGTTTATTTTGCTAATAATCTGAATTTCTACTGAAGCTTCTCCCATAGCTGTTGCATTTAAGGAATTTACAGAAGACAGATTTTTATTATGTCTGGTAAAAGCGATGCTCAGATGCCTAAGAAGGTGAAAGACCCTTTTCCCCTTTGCCTGGGTGTTTTCATTAAATATGCAGCAATTTGATCTCACATTTTTTAAAAGTGATTTTTTTATCACCTCTGTGCTGTGGTTGAAGTAGTATCATAGAGAGTGAAACAGATTGCACATTCACCATTTTACCGCATCAAAATTATTTCTTAGCACTGTGGTCGCAAAATGGCAACCTTAAAAGATATCTGTTCTTGCAAGCCATGTATAGGTAGGAAGATTGAGGTGAGGAGAGGCAAGGTGTAGTGTAGTGCAGCAAGACAGTGAGCCTAGTAAGTATTCTTAGAATTTTGTAAAACTCAGATCAGCGGTTCCACTTTCCTTCACCAAGGAGGTATCAAGAGGCAGGTGGTCTTGTCCTCTGATCCTTGTTCAGAGTTTAAGCTTGTTGCACCTTGCAGAACTGTGACTGGTGAGGAGCCTGGTTGCTCTTCAATGCTTCAAGTTATGAGGCAACAGGAAGAGCGAAGTTAGTTCAACTAAAGCAGTGTCGACACACGACCAAATATAAATTCTTAATCCAAGCACTTGGTTGGAAAGTTTCTGTTCATTAGAGCAGGGAAGTTCTGCCTGTAGCAGGATTACTGGAAGGGGAAAAAACCAAAATCTGTATCCCCCAGGTGGTGTTAGTATGAAACCTGATCCCAAAATGGAAAGGACCTGTAGCAGCAGTGACCTGTTAATATAGTGTTGTTCTTCCTGGTGTAGTGGTGGTATATAAGAACTACAAGGAAATGAGATTACAGTTGAATATTGTGTCAGTAGCTTTCTGGCCAGGCCCTGTGAAGGATTTTCATGTCCTCTCATGCTGAACACGAATTACAGAAAGACAAAAGTTTTGGTTTTGAACTTAAATGTGAAATTTTAACATCATGTGGTTCCTGATGAAGTTGGTGATAGCAGTTGCTTTACGTGACTCTTTGCTTAGCACATCTCAGTAGCACTGATAATTACAAGCTGAACATTGGGCTATTTTGAAAGAGACGCTTGTGAAAGGAAGACAGTTTTTGCATCCCAATGATTGATCTGTTTGCCCTTTTCTGTGGTCTTGACTCCCACTTTTTCTTCAATGTGTCAGGTAGGCTTTAGGTAGTACTGTGTAAGCTAGGACAGACCTAACATGCACAAGTGAAGGAAGAAACAGCAAATCTCTTATGCCACTGAGTTGTGAGAAGAGTAAACATGTTTCACTGTCCTGTCGAAGCTGTATGGGTCCTTGAACAGTTCAGGTGCCTCTGAGTGCCTCAGTTTTGGGGTTGCAGTAGAGTATATGCATTTATCCTTTAAAAAATTGGAAAAGGATGCAAGTGTGCTAAATACAAAGGCAGAGGACAACCTTCAGATTGCAATAAATTAATTTTCCTATGTCATTCTCTTTGTTATAGAATATTGTGGGTAATGCTAAGCCTAAGGAAAGAGGTAATGAAATTCTGTCATCTCCTGAAAAGCGGGAGAAATTTAAAGAACAGAGGAAAGCAACAAGTAATGCAAAGAAAGACAAGGATGAAAAGACATTAAAGGCTGAGCAAAGAGTTAAGCAACCTGATAAAGAAGGAAAAGGCAAGGTCTCAGAAAAGAATATATCTAAGAATGGAAAAGAAGATAAAGAGAATATATCAGAGAATGATATGGAATATACAGTAGATACACAAATTGAGAAGAAACCTGAGAATAACAATGTAAAGAGTCCACAGGAAAACACAAAAGAAACTAAGCGAAAACGTGGAAGACCCCCGATAACACCTCCAGCAGGTATGTACCTGAACTAAAATGTTTAGGCCATTTATCAGAACCCTTCTGAACTTACCTAAAGGAATGAAAAGTATCTTGCTTCGCAGCCTGAGTCTCTAGAAACTACTAAAAAATTGAAAGTCCTCTTTGTTCAGGCTTGGTTAGTACAGGTGAGACCATACTTGTTAGTCAAGTTTGACGCTTCAGTGGTTTGGCCGGAGATTATGAACATTGCTCTCCTAAATCTCTATTACGGGACATGTCTGCAGTAGGATTAAATGGTAATGTGTAGACTTTGGAAAGCCAGATGAAACTGTATTTATGCAAGTCCAGTATTTTAAGTTACGAGACGTTGGAATTTGTTTTAAAGAGCTTCACACCTTCATATCCAGTCACATTTTGTTCTCTATCTAAATATGTAGAGCCAAGTTCTCAGACGCTGCAGCCCATAACTTTGGAATTAAGACGTCGGAAAATACCTAAGGGAAGTGAAGTTCCGTCAAAGCGTCCCAGGATTGAAAAAAACTTGTGTGAGTATTTTTTGGTGTTCAACCCTCATGGTATTTCTACGTGTAAGTTCTAGAAGGTTAAGTTGAGGGAAGGGAGAAGTCTGTAGTTTTAAGCTTGAACTGTGGTACATGAAGTGGGTGAAATGCAGCACCTGTTTTTCTTAAATCGGCTGTTCTTATGTGGCAGCATGGTGGTGAAATTCCCTCCTAAATCTGGGGAGCTGGATTTAGATAAAGGAGCCACAAACTGTGAGTCTTGATGGAGAAGTTCATAAGCATAGGAGAGTCAGTGACTATATTGCCTTCAATGTGTAGAAGGTTAGAAAAGCCTTTTTCTAGCTGTATAAACTCTTTAGTTACTAGATAAGAGTCTACCACATTGCTTAGCAAAGAAACGTTCACACTAGACAGATACTCATGTCACTGCAGCCTGATAGGTTCTGCTTTATCTTGGTGTACTGTGTGGTCGTGCTGAATAACCTGAATATGTTGGTGAGGAGAGGAAATTATATTCTCTATAGTAGCGTCATGAATAAGGAGATGAAGATCTGAAGAAGGCTGTTGTTCCCTTCCTTGGGGCGATAAAGTCTTAAAACATCAGTGCCTGTACGATACCCAGCTTAGGGTCAAAGTTGTTTGTGTTTGAATTGTCTTGTCTTAACTTCTGGTGGTGTTTATGTCTGTGGGACTATTGCTGTTTAAAACAGCGTTTTACCAGGAAGATACTCATTCGTATTCTTATTTCTAATCTGTTAGTAAAAGAAGGAGTTGAGACCTCTATAAGATACGCTTTTGCTCTATATTTATGCCAGTTATAACTGTTAATATGATTGTAGCTTTTGCAGAGAGGTTTAATCAGCAGGGCTGTTTATGTTTTGCTACTAACCTCAGGCCTTAAAAAACACACTTTCAAACTCTCACTGGGAGGGGAGATTGCTGAAGTTTGCTTGTGAGCTGTTTAGTAATCCTGTAACTACACAATCCCATTAGATTTCTCTATTCCAGCTCAGGAAAAATTGAAGAACTCCTCAGGTAACCCTGAAAGAGACCAGATCAGGAGACGATCTTCAAGACTCTCATCTGGTGTTAGCCATGAGATTTTAAATACAGATCATGTCACAGCTTCAACGGAAATTCAGCCTTTGAAAGATGCAGTGTCTAACCAAAAAGAATCTGAGAAGGGTAAGCAGCTTTCTGTTGTGCTCTGGATTTGAGGTGGCATGGTAGGCGGTTGTTCCAGGCACTGTATTTTCACGTGCATAACCTGCAGGCTCTGTATCTGCAGTTCAGGAAACTCAAGGAAAGTTTCTGTCTGTTGCCCTGATTGGCTTCTGATTTTGATTCCCTCTCCATTAGTAACCCTAGGATTTCCCTTGTGTGGTGGGAGCTTTTCAAGTAGAGGGATAACTGGCCTTGCAAAAGGAGTGCTCCACAGATTGTATAACTTGAAGGAAATGTTGTTGGGTTTTTGTGGTTTGTTTTTTTTTTAAAAGAAGCTAGTTATGATTGTGAAAAATGAGGTATTTACAAAATGTTAATGCTTTTAGATTCAGTAAGTAACCCAAGTGCTAAATACACAGTTTAATCCTCTTGGTGAACATTAAAAACACCAAACGGGATGCTTTTATTATCAGACTGGGTGGAGATAGTGCTCCCCTTTTCTGCTCTGTGCTTCACTGCCTTTTCCTTTCAGGGGGAGCTCTGCTAATGGTTTGAGGAGACCTGTCTCATTTTACACTATATATAGTTAGCAGCCTGTGTGTTTTGAAGCAGCTCTAAGTTCAGAGGGTTGCTACAAATAGCTGTGTTTGTAAAAAAAAAAATAAAAATAAAAAATAAATAAAAAAAATAAAAATAATTTTATGTTAATACAACAGCAAGCAGGCTGAGCATGGATGGCATTATGATGAGCATTAATGTGATAAGTGCATACATCAGTGTTCTGGAATATGCTTTTGTCTGCAATTCCCACAGTTACTGTTATTTTACTTTTTAATTATTTTTTTCCCTTCCATTCTAGTCCAGTTGGAAGTTCCTGTTGAATCTGACCAAAGTTTGAGTGAAGAAGGATCTCCTGGAAATGCGTCACATAGCACACCACTTAGTACAGATGCCGGTTTGCAGGAAGAAAAAGTTGAAGACACTGAGTCTTCCTCTGTCACTGTCAGAACTCAGCCTTCTGCTGCTACAGGTTCCAATTTTGATTACGTATTCAGTAGTGATGCATTTCTTACGGCAACTGATGCCAGGTGTTTCATGCTTGTATGCGTGTCACTAACAAAAATGTGTGTTCTTGCAATGTTAACCATGGGGCGAAATGTGTATTTTTCACAGAATCACAGAATATGAGGAGTTGGAAGGGACCTCAAAAGCTCCCCCAGTGCAACCCCTGCCAGAGCAGGATCACCAGAGCAGTCACACAGGAACACGGCCAGGGCTTTGGGTGTCTCCAGACAAGGAGGCTCCAAAACCTCTCTGGGCAGCCTGGGCCATGCTCTGCCACCCTCACACTGACAAAGTTTGTCCTCATCTTCAGCTTGAACCTCCTGTGCTCCAGCTTGGGACCACTGCCCCTTGTCCTGGCATTGGACATCCCAGAGCAGAGCCTGGCTCCTTCCTCCTGACACTGCCCTTTCCCAATTGATCCCCAGGAATGAGGGCACCCCTCAGTCTCCTCTGCTCCAAGCTCAAGAGCCCCAGCTCCCTCAGCCACTCCTCATAAGGGAGATGCTCCACTCCCTCCATCATCTTTGTGGCCCTGCTGGACTCTTTCAAGCAGTTCCTGTCCTTCTTGACCTGAGGGCCCAGCACTGGACACAAGATTGCAGCTGTGGTGTGAGCAGGGCAGAGCAGAGGGGCAGGAGAACCTCTCTGCCCTACAACCACCCCTTCTAATAAACCCTAGGATGGCGTTGGCCTTCTTGGCTCAAGGGCACATTGCTGGCTCATGAGCATCCTGCTGTCCACCAGGACCCCCAGGACAATTATCTCTCCAGTACCAAGGAAATGCCATTGCTCTTTGTATTAGCTGTAAGTACATGAGCTATTGATGGCCTGCCTGCAAGTCTCCGAAGCAAAAGAAAGGTGTAAAAAGTGCTGCTCCTCCAGTGGCTATAGATTTGTTCTTCCCCCCTCTATTTAATGTACACTTTAAGTTGAATACTTACCCTGAGAAACTGCAGTGTAACATCACTGGTTCCCTTAAGTCTTTGTGCTGGCCACTGGTGAAGCTCCTCACAAGTGCTTGTCAGGTACTGGTGTAGTAGTCTGCTGTCTGAGCTGGTGCCAGGTCTATAAGGAGTTTGCAGTGTCAGCAATGTTAGCTGCCAGTGTTGTGCTTTGTAGTGCTTTCCTTTGGAATATGAAGTTCCTTTCCTCCAAGGTGCCCTTGAAACTGAACAGGCATCCTTGAATATAATTTCGTGAAGATGAACAGGGATGTCCTGTTTGCAGATTTTCACCCTGGAGCAGCTTTTCCAGATGGCAGGAGGGTCTGCCTGCTGTAGCAGAAGAGGAAAAACATTTTTGTTTCCTCCTCTGTTGCGTCTTTGGAAGATGTTCCTGGAGCTCTTCACAGAAAGACTGCAGGCACTTGTGTCACTGGTAGTGCAAAGAAATGCTAAAAAGCAGTGAGGCTTCTTAACCCTGCGGGAATCTTGTGCTTCAGGCAGGCAGAACGAGTGGTGGCTGCTGGGTCCAACCTTGGGCATGTGAGGAGGTGCGCAGGTACAGGTGTGACTGCTGACAGGCACAGGGAGCTGAACTGCACTGAGGAGAAGTGTGCGGGACGTCTACCTTAGAGACAGCTCTTCTGAGAGATACAGCAGGTCATAGCAGGTTTGGAAATTGAAAGAATTTGCATTTGTTTGAAAATACTCACTTTCACCCTCTGGCAAACTATTTGATGGAAGAGAAAGTATGGCAAAGCTTTCCACCGCAGTGGATACAGTCACCTGTTGGATGTGCTTTATGTAGGAAAATAATGTGATAAAAATGCTTTTTAACTTCAGTGATTGTGCATGGCAAACTTACTACACTTCTTAAAGTGTCTGTTTTAGCTGGCAACCAGGTAACCTTGTGTTTTGTAAATGCCTGAAAATTTTCTGTATGAAGTGCAGCATTTTGAAGATGACCCTTGTCTTTTGTGTAATCTTTTGGAGGTAAAAGGTTGAAATCAAAGGTGTGCTAAAAATTTTTAGTGGTGTGCGTGAACTGGGGTGGCGGTGTAGCTCTGTGGTAATCTTCAGAGAAGGCATCTTAAAAAAAAAAATAGGGGGATTTGAGTTCAACAGGCCTATAATATACTCATCTATAATATGTACTCAGCAGTATGTGTTAGGGGTTACAGCAAACAAATCAATTCTAGTGACTGAAAGAACAGGTAACAAAACAGGCTTGGCAGTATAAAAATGTCAGTTCTCTTTGTATGTGTTGCTGATGGGGAAATCTCTTCCCCTTCCATGAAAAAAACTTTAGGGCAAATGGTTGGCAGGTTTAAGTTAAAGTAAAATTCCAGCAGGTTGTTTTTTTTCCCCTGCTTGTATATTTACATTCTGCTTGAGATTACAGATGCAGTTTACAGTTGCCTTGTTTTATCCCTGTGAACTTTTATAATATATGTTGGAGTTGAAATGCTGTGTTTTGTAAGGGAGGAAGTAGGGAGAGGAATTAACTTGTGTATTTCAAATGTACAAGGTAGTATTTCTCAATTCTGCTTTTTCAGCATTTGGGGAGCATGATTTTGATAGCAGGTAGATGGGACAGGGCACCAGCATAGTGCTGGTGTGCAGCTAAACCATGGGGGCTTCAAAAAAACTTCGATCCCTTTGAATATCTTCGCCGTTACTGTCACTTCCTCCTGTTACGTGTATTGCTGCCTGTTTGTCATTTGGACTTAACCTGGGGATAATTCCAGCTGAACGTGTAATGCCTACGCGTGTGCTATCGGTCATGCTGATAGGATGTGCAGGGTATGGACTTTTGGGCTTCATTGGATACAAGAGCTGAGGCTGGGAACAGGACTTGATTCAGTCGCCTTCCTGAAGCCTCTGGCACATAGCTTGTGCACTCCGGATGCTGGCACGTCCATCGGTGCTTGAGCGAGCTGGGTTAACGTTAATTCAGGAATGTGCACTCATTCTGACCTGGAGTTCAGCACTCTGGTGGTGTCTGAAAATCCACACTTCTGAGCGTGAATTTTGTTTCATTTAATTAAAGCCATACATTTAATATTAGAAATACCAGACGTACCTTGCTGGACAGCCAGATGTGGCAAATGGATGTTTTTATTGAACTCTTCAGGGACTTTTTGAGTAAATACTGTCACCTGAAACGCAAGTACAAAGATCTACATTTCCATACTTAAAAATATTATCAAGTGGTTTGTTGATAAGAGAGTTTTGGAATCCACAGATCCTGTTGTGGATAAATCTGCTGTAGTTAAAAGTGGATTTATATTTTCCTGTACGTACTTCTGTCTTACCGACAGGGTCGTGTCTGCCCACTCTGCCCAATGAGGAACAGGCAGCGTGAGAGCATCCTTGGTGTGGGGTCTCAAATCCTTGTAGAAAATCGCCAGTAGCTTCCTGTGCTTGGGGGGCTTGTGAAAGAGTCTGAGCCTGCTGTCCTGAAAATATCAGGTGGTGGAGGCTCAAAGCTGAGTGAACTTCATGGGTAATTGTCAAGACAACAGATAGACATCCACAGATAGCAGTAACTGTGTGTCAAGCAGTTATGTCCTCAGGCTGCCATGTGTATCAAAGAGATTTGGAGTTTGGAAAGGGGAGAAGGATATCGTAGAGTAGGTGGTGTGAGTGAAAGAAGGGGTATTTCTTCTGTGCAAGACTTGCACAAAATAGAGCATGGAGGTGAAGGTCGAGGATAACTTGTCATACTTGGATTCAAAGTGCAGCATTGTTACTCAGTACTACCTTTATTTGTCTGTAGGCTTTAATTCTGATGTGTGTGATGGTAGAATAGTTTTGCTTGTCATCTTTGTAATTTTTTTTTTTTTTTGCTAAATCTTTGGACCTTATTACCCCCTTCTGCTGCATTTAGGTTTTCTCATCTTCATGTTAGTTATTAAATAGCAACAAGTTCTCTTCTTGTCCTGAATGCTAGTTTTTAGTTTTATAGTCAAGAGAGCCTTTCTGCACTTGCTTTCGCTAACACCACAGTCCGTTTCACTGACGGTTCCTGAAATACTTCTCATTCTTTATGAATGCAGCTTTTGGTGGTGTATGGTGTATTTTGTCATTCTGCAAGTGTGATGCAGTTGTCTGCCTTTGTTGCAGTCTTACTGCTTGAAGCACCGTCCCTGTCAGGATGTTCTTAATACGGCTGTGCCAGATGTCTTTCTCCTTCTCCTCATCTTTATCTTTGTGCAACACCCAAAAGCAATGTCTTCGTGTTTACTATTTCCTTCTCACAATTACCTGACTATTACTGCTTTTAACCAGCCTGGTGTGCATTAGGCATTTGAATCCTTCCCTGTACATCAGCCCCCATTGTCTCATTACTTGTTTTTTCCCTATGAGTGACTTCAAGCTTTGTTTCGTTGTCATAATGCGGTACTTAAAAACTGTGTATGCTTCAGATACAGCCATCTAGGATGGATGTCATTACGATGTAACCTTTATGCAGCTCAGTAACACCATTTGTGATGCTCCGTGCTGAGAATTTCTGAACGAGCTGTCCTGTGTTCCTCTATGGAGACAGTGTTGATGCTGCCTTTAACACTCCTACTCTGTGGATTCCCATATACGTGCACTTGTGGAAAGTCTTATTCTTTCTGCACTTATTGTTTGTAGTGCTTCTGGGTCCTTCTGTGTTCCTTTTTTCCCACTGCTTCTAATACAATGTCTTGATTTTTCATTCACGTGCTGCATGCCTTCAGGTTTGCATCACAGCTGCTCAGTCTGGCTTTAAACCTTTCATAGTCTGAAAAACATTTGTAAATATGGAAATTATATTTAGTACTGACAAATCAAATGCGAAACTTAAATTTGGAAGCATTTTTCTAAACATTACACTTCCGTCGTCCTATAGTTGGTGAGGGGTTTTTTTGATGCTGTGTGCGTGTTAGTGATGGATAATTGCCTGAATCTCGTGATGTCTCCGTGTTTCCAAATTCCTACCTCTCCTCTGTTGTAGTGGTTACAGGTCCTGGTGACAGTAATCTGTTTTAGTTCAAAATGTTTCTTGTGTATTTTTCTTTGGAAAAACAGGAATTAAAAGCTTCTGAAAGACTGGAGGAAGAAATGAGAATTTGGCAGGTCAAGTTTAGGTGCAGCTTCTGGGTTGCACAGCAGTGCTTTATAAAACAGAGGCCTTGAAGCATTCTTCCATTTGAATCTAAAGACTTCCCTTGCTTTCTTAGAGAAACTAATTAACTGGAGCTCCTATGTGGCGCTTTTTAAGAGCAAACGGTTTTCCTTTTGCATAGTTTCTTTCTTTCATGGCTGCTTGAAAATGAAAATGAATTTTTCCTTGATAAATGCAGTTCTGTCACATTGTAACCAGCCTTGGTGGTAGGACAAGGCGTCCAGGAAGCAGGTAGCAAAATGGTTGCAGACAGAAGCAGAACAGTTTTCTTTAGGAAGTACTTTCACCAAAGATGTGAAGAGTTATAAACAATTTAATTTAAACTTAAAATACACAGTCTCAGGGTAATCCAGTCTCATATCGATAGTAGCACGATACACAGTGGTATCGGCTGTTGGAAAAGGAACTCATGGAAGCAAAATGTCATTTTCTGACAGTGACTCATTCATAAAAGCACTGGCGTTGTAAAAACCAATTTTTAAGGACATGGCGGAGCAAAGTTTTCCCTTAAAAGCTATTGATCTTAAAGGCAGATCCAGCATTGAAATTTCAGTTTTAGCATTTCATAGCTAACAAGTTTGAATGCATGCCCTTTTCGTAACTTTTTTTATTTTAAGTTTAGGAAACCATTTGACACAAATAGCAAATGCATGGGGGAATTTTATCTGTTTTGTTCTTACAGTAACAAAACCTTGTAGGACAGCAGACTTTCTTGCATCAAAAAAAGCCGCAACTGTTGATCAAGATCACAAGTTTAGATGCAAGTTCTTGGACTGTTCAAAATCCTTCCGCAAAGCCAAGTTACTGCATTATCACATGAAATACTTTCATGGAGTGGAGAAGGCTGCAGAATCACAGCAGAGCCCTGTAAAAAGAAATATTCAAACAAGAGCTGCTTTGGCTTCTGAAAAAGCTAATCAAGAAAGGTCAAAAAAAGGACGGACCACAGCTGGTTCATTGTGTAAGTATGTTGCTGATCTCTTCTTGTTTTTATAAACAGCAAGCAGGACAAACAGTAAAGAGCATTTTCTTTCAGGCCGAAGGAGTCTCAGGGCTCTATTTTAGCATATTTCTTTGTGGAGGAGAAGCATAGTTTGTGCAAACTTTGCTTTAGAGAAGATAAAACTGAAGAAATTCCCTAGTCTAGAAGTGTAGGTCATGTTCTGTAATGAACTGACTACACAGCTTCTCTTACTCCTTTGTAGCAACTGACTTGAGTATTAAACCACTGTTCTTTTTTCAAAGCTACAGCTCCCTGAGTTTCTGATCTTGGTTTTTCTCTTTTTCCCCTGGCTTAATAAATATCAAAATAGTATTGTTCAAAGATATTTGTCATTTTCTGTATTAAGGCAATAGTCTGGGTAACTCCAGTTCTCTCCTGTTTTTGACTTGGTCTTTGCATTTCACGGCCTGACATCAGGAGTATGCTTGGTGCCAGTTTCTGCAGTATTTACAATTCTCATTGGCCCTGTGGGGAAAAATGTTCTGGTGTTTAACAAATGCAATTGCTGCAGCTGTACTTGAGAAACATCCTCACACAACTGATGCGTAGTAGAAAGGGATAAAAACTTAATAGTTAGGGAAATAGTAACTATTTAAGTTATAACTGCTTTGCAGTCTTCAGAATCATGTTAACTTCTTCTGCTTCGCCATCTCCTCCTCCGAAGCGCTTTCTTCCTGGTGTCTGGCATAACACCAGAGTGTCAGCCTAGGTCCAGCTGTGAACTGCAGTGCTGGTGTTATGACCTTTCCATCTTTTTTCTTGTGGACTGACTTCTCTTTGTACTGTGGGTCCATACAAATTGCTGTATCTTGTTTTCTGCTTGAGTCTGTGTTATAGAATCCATCTTTCTCTTTGCTGTATTCCCTGGTGTTTTTTGTCTTTGCACTTGATCTTTCGTTAATATTCTGTTTAATTAAGAATTTCAAACTCTTGCAAGTTGTTCACTGAGCTGCAGCTCACGAAAGCAGAGTGTATCAAGGCTTACTTTGCTTCGTATCTACTTCTCCTGATGTGTCCAGCATGTTTTCTTCTGAGGTTCTACTGCCTGTTCCTGACTAGATAAGTGTAACTTAACATACCTGCTCCTGCCTGTAAACTTCTGTACCCAAAATACTTCTGTACCTTCAAATAACCAAATCTTAGGCCTTTGCATTTAGTAAAGGAGGATTTTTCTTTAAATGCATTAGAATGTGTATTATGCTCTGCATTCAGCTTAAATGAAAGTACTGCCTTGAGAAACACAACTGAGACTTCATGAAGCTGCTGACAACTGCACAGTGATCAAAATGGGCTTCTTGCCTGTCACATGCTTTTCCATGAACAGACATTCTGCTTTCTGTAACTGCATGGTTGTTTTGGTTTGAGGAGTTTTTTCCTGTGATGGTCTTGAATGAACGGACTGGTGACTCAAGATCTTGAACCTTTCATTTATCCTTTTCCCCTCAAGTGCACACTGTTGGTTTAATGTCATCATCTTGGCTGCCCTGGCAGGTAATTCATTATGATGAGTTGTAACCGTATTTGCTTATTTTAAGCCCCTACCCCTTTCATTCGCATTTGTGGATGGGTACTTTGACCCCAGATTGTTTCGATGACGTGCTTCATTATCATCCCTGCGACCAGCCCCTGGGTTGTGCTGACAGCTGTGGAGCAGCATGCCAAGGTGGAAGGTAGACCATGAAGTTTTCAAGTCACCTTTGCTGTCAGAGCCTGCTGCTGTGGTGCTACAGTAGGGTTTTTCTTAATGAAAAAAGTAATGTCATCATATATCAGTTATATCGTATGTCTGATATTAAGTGCCATTTGGGTTTTAAATCACTGTGTTCATAATTCTTCTAATTTTTGTTGTGGGGGTACCACACATTCTAAAGTGGAGGTAATGGGGTTTATGAGCTCACACTGTTGCATTTTGTGTTCTGTTCTCCTGTCTTTTTGCAAGCATTTCGTCTGTTCTTAATGGTACATATAGGAAGACAGCCTGCTAAGCAACACTTTCTCCATGGCTACTGAACCACTTGCATGTCACCTTTTTAGAAGGCTTTTCGGGATGTACTGCTTAGTGAGAGTGAAGGCTTTTGAATATATTCTGGTATGTGACAGGTTCACTTCTCATCTTTACAGTCCTTTTGTGAGCAAAAATTCTCCAAAGTGAATGTAGCTAAATAATTTTTAGGCTCGCCACTAAACAAATGACAGACACTCTCTATTAACCCCTCTGCCCTCTTCAGAAGAGGAAGAGAAAGAGAATAAGGGAGAGAGGCTTAGGGGTTGTAAAAGAAAACTAAACCAGGTTTAATGAAACAATAACAATAAAATTAAAATATAGCAATGTAAATGGGACAATAATGAAATATATACAAATATATACAAAACCAATATCAGATCCTCCCCCTGTTCCCTGCTAATGATGATTATGTGACCAGAGATGCCCCGGAGCAGGGCACTGGAAAAGTCCCAGGCTGGACTCAGCAGCAGACAGGAGCTGGATTCAGAAATGGATGGATCCAGATTGAAGGCACAAAAAAATGACTGAGTCCTATCTGGACACTTGCCGTGGCAGAAGAGAGCTTGACCCTCGTGATCCCTCATCTTTATACTGATTGTGATGTATAGGGGATGGATACCTTGTTGGTCAATTTTGGGTCATCTGTCCTGTCAGCTCTTCCCTGCAGGTGTGACATGTCTTGGCACCCAAGATGTCACAGCGACCTTGGTCTCCATACAAGCAAGTATAAGCAAGAGCCATACTTACATACCATTCCTAATAGTAACTATAAACATCAAGCGCTGTCTCTTAGAACCAGACACTGTCTGGAAAAACATGCTCTTAGTTTCATAAAGTACAGTCACTTAGATGAAACTTAACTGAAAAGTCACATCACTGAATGGAGTTCTGTTTAGCTTAAACCAGGACACTTGCTGTACTGGCAGGGACTTCATCAGTTGAACCTTTACGTTCCCAGGACGTTGGTCAGTTCCCCTGAGGAGTCTTGCTCTAATGGAAGAGAAACGTGGGTTTGAGACTTTAAAAATGCCGTGCAGTATTAGGCTGTGGTTTTGATATGTGGGTATATAATGGCAGCCTGAGTCTTGACGAATTGCTGCCAGTCTTGGCTCTGCTGTTCTCCTTGTCATGAGGAAGAAAAGAAAGAAGCAGACCTTTGGTTTGTAGTTTAGAAACTAGGAATTCTGTCACTACTCAGGAATCTGTAAAAGGTACTTCAGAAAAAATCATGCATTTTGTCAGTAGGGTTAAATTTGTGTGTGACCTCATTATTATAAAATTCTCCCTACTCAAGGTTACTTACAGTAGATCATCTCAATGCTCAAGTGTCTTAATGCTAGGAATACATGTAAAGAAAAAAGGGGTCTCGTCTTCACTCGTGTTACTAATGAGATCCCAACCATGCATGCATAGGGAACAAGTTGGTAAACTCTGATGGCTTATGTGTATAAGGCATTCAGTTGTTAACTGATAGCTGTGATCACGTGAACCTCTGGCCTGTGGTTTAGGGCTTTTTGGGGTGATCTTTTAGGGGGTTCCTCTTTCTTCTGACTATTGACTGAGTGCCTTTTTGCTAGACAGTGAAACATGCAGGAGTGTCCTACACTGCTGGAGTAGGTGAGGATCTGCTTCATGATGGTGAGGGGTTTAGAGCATAAGAATTACGAGGAGCAGCTGAGGGAGCTGGGGTTGTTTAGTCTGAAGAAGAGGAGGCTGAAGGGAGACTTTACTGCCCTCTACAACTACATGAAAGGAAGGGGTAGCGAGGTGGGTCTCTTCTCCCTTGTAGCTAGTGATAGGACAAGGGGTAATGGCCTCAAGTTAAGCCAAGGGAGGTTTAGGTTGGATATTAGGAGGAATTCCTTTACTGAGGGGGCTGTTAAGGACTGGAACAGGCTCCTCAGGGAGGTGGTTGAGTTGCCGTCCCTGGAGGTGTTTAAAAGATAAGTGGATGTCGTGCTTTGGGACGTGGTCCAGTGGCAGACCTGGAGCTGGATCGATGGTTGGACTCAATGTCTTAAAGGTCTTTTCCAACTGAAACCATTCTGTGATTCTATGAAAAGTTTAGGATAACTTTCCAGTTCTTTAATCTCATCTTCTCTAATTTAGTCTCAACTCCTGAAGTATATTAGGTTGGCCAAAAAGTAATTGCAATTTTTCTGAGTAAATGAAAGGTGATTTTTTTAATGGGAAACAAAACCTTTCTTAAAAAATTATATTGTCCATTTTGTGCAATTACCTGTTGCCATCTTTCAGGCAGCTTCAGGATTCTGCACTCAAAAAAGTTCCTATCTTTTTTGGCAGAAAACAGTTCCAAGATCAATTTGACATCCTCATCAGCAGTGGAGGTTTTACCACTCCAGGCGTTTTGTACAGAACAAAACAAAGGGCAGTCTGATGGTGCCAGGTCTGGTGAATCTGGTCTGTGGTCTGGCGTTACCATGGAGAAACACAGCACCTTTGCGATTCACCAGTTCTCGATGCTTCTGTTCGATGGCATCATTTCCTTTATCCAGTGTACGACGGAACGCATCCAGATTAATGGTTTGGTTCCTTGGAAGCAATGCAAAATACGCAATACTTTCAAAATCCCTTCCTGTGGCGAATATCTGCTTCTGAAGTGCTTTGAGCTGGTTCATCACGTTTGCTCCATTATCTTTGTTGTGCGTTGTTGTAGATGATCCATTTTCTGTCACCTGTTATCCTGCGTTCCAGAAATGGATCGTTTTCTTCACGTTTCAGGAGAGAGTCGCAGATGTCAACGTGCTCAGTGAGATGAATTCCTTTGAGCTCGTGTGGTACCCAAATACTGAGCTTTCTAACATATCCAAGTTGTTTTAAATGGTTTTCAGTGCTCGGTTTTGATACGTTCAGATTATCAGCAGTCTCTTGTGTTGTTCAACGCTGACTGGATTTGAACAATGCCTTTATTTTCTTGCTGTCAATTTTGATGGGCCTTTCTGAGCGTGGTGCATCTTTAACATGAAAATTAGTAAACCAGTTCTGACACTGCCATAGTTTTACGGCATCTTCACCCTACACATCACTTAACTTCTTATGACCTTACGGTGTTTTTTCCTTTTCTGAGGTAATACAGCAAAATATGATGAAAGTGTTTGTCATATTTTGATTTTCCATTTTGAAATAGACGCCTAAAATAGTTAATGAAGTCTTGCACTTTTTCTAGAACAAGCTTGAGCTGTCAGCTGTCAAGTTGCATAAGGAATTTGTTGTTTAAAATTAAGTTAGTTACATTTCGAGACATGTATCTATTAAAAAGATACCTATTAAAAAGATATCAAGACATCTATCTATTAAGTACTGAGGTGGCCAAAAAGTAATTTTCAGAGTGCTCAGAGACCTGCTAAACTTTGCTATCAATGGAACAAAAGGTGTTTCAGAACTTCATATATTTCTTGGTAACTCTTTTTTGCTATTGAAGAAAATACATCCAGTGTATGATAAGAGTACCCTTGAGCTCCCTCAGGATGGTGTTACTGCTGGCTGAAAAACAGTACAGAAATGTATTAACCTTTCTGTGTCATTAAAGAGTTGCCGTGCTCTTGGCAAAAATCTCCTTAAACTTCATCTCACAAAGCTGACAAGCCAGGTGGGTGCAGAGGACAGCCTTGTTCCACCAAGGTTCTGTGTGCCTGCAGCAAGCCCAGATGCCCTGTGCTCTTTGAAAGGCCGGTGGGATCATGGTGGCCATGGAATTCTTCAGATCCATGAAAATGAGCTGAGCTGTTGGGAGAGGGGAAAGTTAGGAGGCCTAAGTGAAGATTGTCTGGTTTGTAGAGTTTTAACTGCTGCAGTTTTGGGGTTCCCTGAGAATGGTGTTCTGTCACTATTTTCAGAACTTAATGCAGAATGGTAGACAAGCAGAAAAGCTCAAGAAAGGCTTGTTTACATGACTTCTCACCCTGTGCTGCTGCAAATTGTTTGCATTTCAGAAAGCTTGTTAGGACACTGTTCTTCCCAGACAGGGTATGAAGTACCTCAATCTTATTTTTCAGCTACCGTGGAGAAAAGTTTTGTCCGTCTGAACTGGTGATGTCTTGTTCAGCTCACTAATCATGGAAGCTCTGAGATGAGTGAATTCTGTTAGCAAAAAGTCCTCCAAAATAACCTGTAGTTTAAAAGCAAAACAAACAAACAAAAAATCCCAAACAAACCCCTCTTTATGCTTTTTCCTGCAATAGGAGAAGTTAGTCCTGTTGAAAATGGAAGGCCATGCACATACTGCATATCTTGTCAAGGAGTGTTTTCTGATTTTGTTAATTCTTCATGGACAAGACATGCTGCTTTCTACAGTCTTGCAGCCCTTGAGGTAAATAAGCACCCAGGGAAAGGCAGCAGTGAGTGGCTTCCTGACTGGGCAGAAGGTACCTTTATGAGCCAGTCTCGTGTGCAGATTTGGTCTAATGTCTCTCTTCTATTGTGGCTGCTCTAAAGCATTATGGCAGATGAGTAGGAGGTAACCGTTTTATTACAGGAATAGTTATGAACACTTTTCTTTTTTTGTCTTTTTTCTTCAGTTTCAGTGCAACTTCAGAGTGAGAGGACCCAGGAAAAAGTCATCTCATGGCCTTGATATTTCGTGAACTTGGAGTTTCTTTTGCCCAGAGACATCTGCTTGATTCTGGAAGCTCTGTAATGGCATTCCTTAACGTGCCTTGTCATAGCTTCAACTCAAAATGTCAGACAGGGCAGAGTACTTGATCCCATTTCTTCTCCTAGGTTTGCTCTATTGAACTCTTTCTTCTGTTTTCAGTAATTTTCAGATCCTGCTCACAGTTAGTTAGTTAAGAGGTGTCCAAGTGAAATCCAGCTGGCATGCAAGTCTTCAAACAAGAAGGAAGTTGCCTTTTGTGTCCATTGAACTTTTGAGATGCTTATGATGATGGAACTGGACATTCCTGATGAAAGTCAGCAAGCTGTTGCCTTGGCTACTTCATCCCCTTGACCAAAAATCCTGGTGTCCTACTCCAAAATGGCAGTGTACTTGTTCTGTTTAGTCTGGCTCTTCTACATCCCACGTGGCCTTGGCTTTTATCAGCTTTGCTTGTCTTTTTTCTTTGTCAGGGAGTCTTTCAGTAGGAGTTTCTAGCTGTAGTGAGGAAAATAAGAACTGTTTGATTTGATTTAAATAGTAAATGGAATGTCAGATGAAGCCATGTCTGTGTATCATGATTTTTTGTGAATTTTAGGTAGTGATCCTAAATTCTTGTATCTCACTCAGTTGAAGCACTGTTGTTTCAATGGTCCGTTTTTTTAAAACTGCCTTTTTTAGATGTGCAGAGCTTCTGTATGCCACTTCTGTATGCCTCGTTACAAAGGACAGGCTGTGATTCCTCTGATTAAGTCAACAAGACCCCTTTTCTCTTAGACTAATAATAAAAATACCTGACCCATCTCTCTGCCAAACTGAACTGTTTATTTTTCCATCTTTCTTCAAAGCTGCAGTATTTCTGGAACAGTAGAGGTTTGGAGAATGCATTTGCATCCACTATTTGTTTATGAAAACAAAACCAACCCAAAAACCCAACAACAAAAGCATTACAGGTTTTAATCCAATTTAACAGCTTCGGTTTGAAAGCTTTTCCATGGCTGAGTTGCTAGGACTGAGAGTGGAGCAGTGTGTCACACAGACTGCCAGGGCTGCTGCTGGTGAAGTAGACTTGCATTTTGAAAGTATTTAAAGCTCGGACTTCATCTTTATTCTCTTTGTAGATGCCCCTCTACACATAGCCCTAAGGAGTACACCATATAGAGGTGAACAAGTGGAAAAGAGAAGAACTTCAGCTCCTGTAGGTGTGTTACATAGTCACCGACATTCAGTTAGAGAACAAACCAAGAACTACATAGTGAGACCACTGCGCAAGCCTCAAGAAAAGGACAAAGCTGAAAATGGTACGTGTTTCTGTTTAACAACTTGGGAAAGTCTTGGAAAAGTTTTGAGCATTGTAAGGAACTGATAATACTGACAGAGTAGTATTTATCACGAATTTGTTGACAGTGACTGAAATAGCATACTTTGTGCTCTCGTATCTTAAAGCAAATTGAACAATCTGACCATGCAAATTTCAATTCCCAAGTGAAAAGGTGCAGAATTTTCCTACCACTGAACTCGGTTATAACTCTCTTTGCCCTTATGGAAAAATAAAATGGCAGAATTTACATATGTGAGCAGGGAGAAGGAAATGGTACCCAGAAGATCGTCACCCCTGGAGGAGTAGGAGATGAGGACAAAGGAAAGTAAAGAGGGAAGTTGTGCTGAAATTCAAATATGAGCTCTTTTTTCCTTCTCCCCCTCTGCCCCCAACAGACAGTAGTGAGGAGGGGATGAAATTTGTCTCCTGTCATACTCCCTTTGGAGCACGTGTCATTGGTGTGCAGGCTGCCCGCGGTGTCAGCAGTCGATGTGGCGGCTGGCAGTGCACAGTTCTGGCAGCCGTCACTAATGACATCCCAAAAGAGGAACATAAGTGGCAAAGTAGCAGATGTTCAAGGACTGAGAGGACGGGGAGATACAGAGCTGAATGGCTCTCATGAGCTAATGACCGTGTCTCCTGCATTTTCACCACAGCTGGTAAAATGTGACCGAGATTTCCAGTTTCTCGGTGTGAGCTGCTTACAAGCATAAATATGAAGCCTTAGTTTGTGAACTGGGGAAGATTGAGAATTGGGACGTAGAAATGAGATTAACCCGATACACTGGTTGCTGGTTTGCTTCATGAGTGGTTACAGACCAGCTAGGGTTCTTAAATGTTTTTGTAGGAGAACATTTCTTACGGTATAGAGTGTCTTTAGGTGCTTATTCTTACATCAATAATCAGAAACTGCAATGGGTTTCTAAATGGGATGGTAAGTGATTTAATCGACGAAGCACTTGGAGAGCAGAGCCCTTTTGAGATACAAGGCATCCTTCCATAATAGATCTTATGGATGCATCTATAGGCTCAGCTGAGTCAGGATGATTTACTTCAACTGTGTAAGCATCTTGAATTTTTGCTGCAGAGACCTAAATCTGAAAGACAGGAGTTACAGACAGATGCAAGGATATTAAAAGCAAGGATTTGCGCACGTTATCTTACAGCAAGGTTATACTTAGTGGCAAGTGCTCTGGAAGTATGTTTTGAGGATGGGCTCAATTGAAGTATATCACCCAATCGTTCTGGAATTATGGTGTGGGTTTTTATTCCTATAGAAGTAGGATGAAGAGCAGATGGTGAGAGAATAGCAGTTAAAGCCAGCTGAAACACTTCTTGCTCCATTTTCAGTGAAAACAAAATGTTTGACAGAGGAACTGTACTGGAATTTGAAGGGGTTGCAGTTTTGTTCTTGTCAGGATTCTGTTACAGTGCTACTGAAGTGTTCAGCCATAATAATTTAGAAAATTAATATAACAAATCTCTGAGGCACATCAGTAGTTAATGGACATTGGTGTGCACGTGATTACTCCCACGTGCTGTAGTAATTTTGTTTTGGGACAGTCACATTAGAATTTAAAACAGATCATTCCAATTATGAGAGCTGGGAATCCTACAAATAAGTTTTCTTGTTTTGCAGTAAACTTTCCTTGATTGTCCAAAGAAACTGTGGAGGTCTTTAAGAACATTAATAAGTAGAACAAGTATATATCTATTTTAAAAACTAAATGGGAATGTTGTCTAATTTCAGCTATTAAAGAACATGAGAAGAACAAGGAAAGAAAATCCAAAGACTGTGGAAGGTCCAAGTCAAAGAAGAAGAAAAAAAAGAAAAAGAGAACTAAGCCTGGTAAAGCTCTTACTTTGTTCTGTAGAGGAAAACTGCTTCATTAGCTTGTTTTGCCTGTCACCCAGTTCCACGCTTTTAAGAGCAGGCATTGCAGATAAGACTACTTTCTTCATTAATCTGTTAGTTCTGATATTATTAAGTTGTTAATATTAAATTGTGATTGGCAGGATCACAAGCTGGAGCACAGGAGGTTCAAGCTGAAGATGAGGACAAACTTTGTCAGTGTGAGGGTGGCAGAGCATGGCCCAGGCTGCCCAGAGAGCTTGTGGAGTCTCCTTCTCTGGAGACACCCAAAGCCCTGGCCGTGTTCCTGTGCGACTGCTCTGGTGATCCTGCTCTGGCAGGGGTTGCACTGGGGGAGCTTTCCAGGTCCCTTCTAACTCCTGACATGCTGTGATTCTGTGAAGATTATTTATTTCCTGGTTGAGGTGCATCATTGATGCTGGATGAAGCTTTATAATAGTGCTTGTAATGGCACAGAATATGTCCAACTCCAAAATTAATGTCAGCCTGTAAGTCTGGCTTTTCATTAGCAAGTTTAATGCAAGTTTTATACAGTTTAAGAGGACGCAGATCCCCTTGATTTGTTACCTCAGGTACCAGATGTTCTTAGTTATCTGAGTTAGTTTTGGGGCTCCTTTATGAATGATGGAGTTTGGAAATGTTGATGGGTCTTCTTTTTCTGTCATTAACCTTGTTATTTCTTATATCTTTACTTAATATGGGGTTTCAGAGGCTGTGACAATGAGCTCTATTAAAACTGTTGCATCCTACATTTTTCCTTGTAAAGGATAAATCTCTCCTTTCCTGGAGAGATGAAGTAAAAGCCTGATTTAAAGTCTCTGCTCAAGCTGTGTCCCTCTGCATGTCTCCTAACATGCAGGTCCACATACATTAATAGGGCTATAGTAGGAAAACATCTTCTCTGTTGTGATTTTATCCACAGTCTCTTGGGAACGCTTTCCTTGGGAATGCTGCTCTACACTTCTGACTTTCCATGTAGGCCCCCAGGTGTTACTGGTGACTGGATTCTTCACTTCTGAAGATCACAATTGGTTCTGAGAGGTTCCTCTAGTGCAGCTCAAGCATGGCAACTTTCTCTGCCATCAGTGGATGTCTAGGATAACTAATGCAGTGTGTTTCAATCTGGCATGAATAATATATTAAACTAGAGTATTGAGAAGTTTCCGAGATGCAAAAGAAAATACATTATCTCTTTATTTGCTATCGTGAAGAAACAGGGAAAGCTGTCTTGAGAGAGGAGAAGGGAAGAAAGAACCACAAGCAGACTGACTCAGAATTGTACTGAAACAAATCATTTTACTGAGTTTCTGATACAGTGTGCTCAAATATAATGATAATGTGCAAAGTATACTTTGTAAACTTATGCAGTAATTGCCCAAATAGTACCCACAAACTGGTTGTACATCTACTCTTGGCTTTTGAAATGTTGGTTGCCTTTTTTTGAGGTTGCCCTTGTGGTTCTTCAGTCCGGGAATTTTGAAGGTTTTTTCCCAGCTGACTGACGGGAGGGTGGTGCTTACAACTTCAGAGAGCTCTGATTTAGGTGCAGTCCAAGACATGCCCGCTGGGTGCTTCACAGAGGAACTGTTCTAGGAGTCCTCTCCACACTTTCCTATTTGGGGCTTTTCTTTTCCATACATACATCCTATTCCATACATACATCAGGAAAATAAGATATGTTTTCTGTCCACTTTGTGGTCTGTGAGATTAGGGAATATGTGTAACCCATGTGAATAATGACAGTGGGATGTGAGGGAGAGGTCTTTCTAACAGTGCTTCAGTGGAAGTGCCTGTAATGCAAAGCATTTGTGGACACATTCATCATAAAGAATAGTTAGGTTTCAGTAACCAGACTTCAGCCTTTCTCACTCACGTCGGTAGTGGCTGAGCTGCGTGAGACTGTTCTGGTTCAGACAACTTTCTTGCCTCTAGAATAGCAGGATGGTGAAGTCCTAGAGTTTGCTCTAGAGTCCTAGAGCATTTTGAAGTGGAAATTCTCAGTGCATTTTATGTGCGTGCTGTGGGCATGCATGGTTATGTTTTTGTTTCTGTCAACTTGTCTTGATGACAGATTTCTAATAATAACACTTCTTACGATGTTACAGAATACTCTGGCAGCGAAGAACACACAGATATTTCACAGGAGCTTTCTTCTGAAAAGCCAACGATCACAAAATGTATTTCTTCAAATAAATCATCTGCCCACCCAAGCATGCTGCTACACTGCTCTGATTCTGGACAGCACAGAGGAAAATCAAAACCAAATGGTACGATGACGCTCCATGGTTTTCTGGTTCCGTCTCCCGTTACCAGTAGATGTGTGAGCTGCACTAACATACACAAAAGCTGGTACTCGCAGTGTAAATTTGGCTGTTCTTGTGCAGGAGTGTGTTTCCTTTCTCCTGCCTGAAGAAGTTTTACCCAGTTCATTTGGCAGAGCTTGAAGTCGCTGCTTTTTGCTTTGACTTTACCTTCACAGAAGTTTTAAGACTGTTGTCCTTATTTCAGAACTCAAACTCATTTTGTACCTTTTTGCAGCACCTGATTAACTCTGTCATAACAGTGTTTGGACTTGAGTAATTAATTTTTTCATGTTTCCTCAAAGTAATAACTCATTCGGAGTTAAAAGTAGATGCTATGCAAGATTTATACTGTGTGTGTGCAGTGTCTGAGAGACCACTGTATGTGGTTATATTGCACAGATACAGTACAGTGTGATATGTGGTTGTAATGACTTTATGAGCTTCATAATGATGGGAAGCTCTTGAGTAACTGTTTATTAAGTACTTAATAAACAGATACTCAAGAGCTTCCCATCATTATGAAGCTCATAAAGTATTTATTAAGTACTTAATAAACAGAGCTCATAAAAACACGGCTGCCATGTTCCATCTTTCATAGTTTTTAGTAACTTGGACCATCTTGCTATTCACTGTCACAAGCCAGAACAACAAAAAAGAAAGGCAAGCATTTTGTTCTTTCTGTTATTCTTAAAGCTCACAAATTTGAAGGAAATGGGGAGAGTATGACAGCTTGATTATGTTCAGGAACCTTAAATTCCTTATTGTACAGATACACTATTGGTGACACGAGTTTTTACACAACTGTTTTATTGTTTGGTGTTATGCAAGTTGTAAAAATTAGCTTCAGTTAATTCCATTATATAAGGAAAAGAGGAAACAGTAAAAACTCCTGAAGCATAGATGGTAACAAGTGTTAAAACATGTTCTGCAGGTCTGATCAGTTGCATTTTTGGAGCATATCAACCATAGAATGTACTCAGTTTAATAACTTGCCCATCTGTTGCTCAGGCTTGTTTTGGTCACTTACAGGCATTGAAAGAGGTGAAAAGTGTTTGAAATGGTTTTATCTCATCCTTGTCACAATTGTTTTGCTGCTTTGTGCATCTGCAGAACTTGTACTAGCAATAAAAGCAGTGCCTGTATGAGTAAGATCTGCTGTAATAGCAAAGTTCTCGTGTAGAATGGAAGTGCAGCGTGCTTAACCTGTTGCTTCAGAGTACT